GCCTTAGGGCATTGGGTATGCTCCCTGCTACCCAAGAAACACTATAAAGTTTACTGCCTTCTTCTGCCAATGTGCAACAAGTGCATAGAAAATATCACATGGTCAGATAGCAGTCTGGCAAAGATCAAGTAAGCACACATGGCATTTATCAGTTTCTATGTGCAAGGCCCATGTTACTTGAGGATGAAATAGCAACAACTTCCCTTGTTAGATCTAGAACAATTATGCCTGTCCCTAGCTAGATTCTTCTGGTATTGGTCAAACCAAAAATACTGTAAGAACAGCATCTTTCATTTCACAGTATTTCAACCAGCACAGGGAAATGACTGCTGTTTAAAAATTACAGACTTTTTAAAGGAAGTTTAAATAGGTCTTCCACTGGAGATGATTTAAAAATGGGTCATGCTTGAGAAAAGGAGTTTGGGTACTATATTTCAACCATAATATGCACTGTACAAAGCATTTATATTGTGTTTTATGACTTTAGCATCTATTCCAAACTGATTGGCAGAAAAAAATGTAAACACTAATGAAGATCTTCATTTTTCAACAACTGAAGCTTTTGAATAAGGTCTCACACAAGAGCAGTTCCAGTAAAATTAATAACATGGGTGATCATGTTATAAGCTTACAGAATCATGCAAGTCCTTGCACATCATGGCCTGGTGACTACAAGAAGTTACAAAGTAAATACATAAATAATTAGATCTCTTGTATTATAAAGGGGGAGTGTATGTCTGAAGGAATAGAAAAGATCATTAAACAACATGTTATCCTTAAACTAGTACAAACATGAAAATGGAGAAACCACTTTGGCTTGATCAGGATCATGTGTTCTAGTCACACAGAAGGAACTTGTTTTCTAGGCTACACTTCACTATTCTTTGAAATGTGACAAAAAATAAAAAAGGGATCGTAGTCTTCAGTTATGCCTGGTGCATCTGACACTCTGAAACAAAGTTTTCAAGCGGACGCTGCCAACATACAGAATCTGATTATCTTTTACAAAAGCAGGAATCTGTATCACTCCTAAGAGGAAATGAACTGAATACCTGGCTTTTAAAAGATAATGATGAAATAAAAAATCTCAAACATGCGTCCCCAAAAGAAGAAAGAGGACTGACAAACCAGGCAGTCTGGAAAATGACATTATTAAATTTAATGTGTTTTTATAAAAAGAAAATAGATAAAGGCCAACAGAAAGACCTGGTTGCTTTAAGAGGAGATCTCAACATACAGCATTTTAGATAACACTTGTTCTTAATGAAAAGTGCAAGGTGGAGATTTGATGAGAAGGGCCATAAACCTGATAGGATAGTGTCCCTGATAGGATAATGTCCCATCAGTTCAGAAAGTGAACCCACAGGAAAACTGACCAAACTCACAGAAATTAAAGCAGCCATTAAACATTTTTGCACTGATATGCATTACTCCCAGATAAACAGAGCTAACATCAATGGCTTCCTCTGCAAATCAGACTGCTCTCATACCAAGATTTTAAATCCTTGAAAGCTCCAACAATGAACTATTGTAGAAAATTTCTCCTGTGTTTTCAGGATTTCACAAAAGTAAAATCCCCAGGGTCAGTGTACAGAACATAATTTCTATAAAGCTGTTAAATGGTAACAGCCCTTCTTTTGACAAAATATTTTTAAGAGCTTTTAATACATAATACCTGTCAGCAAACCCACATGTAGGACTACCTATGCAATTTGTGAAGTGAGTTGGCCTACTGGAGACACTTGTTCATACCAAAGCATTTTTAGTGGTAGGTGAACGTCAGACAAATTTAGTATACAGGTAACACAAAATCCTCAATGCCTGGATGTTTTTTTTTATCTGAAGTAGAAATGCTTGGCATTAAAAAAAAAAAAAAACCTACCAATTTGATGTCAGAGATAGGAAAAGAGGATTCTGAATTAAAAATCAGCTCAGCATCTCAAACGAACCAGTGAAAATGACACATATGCATGTTCAGAATAGAGGAGTGAGACATAGGTTAACCAGATGGTCAGAATTTTGCAGTGAAAATAATTGGATACCTTTGTCTGTGTTTAGTATGCACATGGGACAGATAGATGTGGGAAGCGTGAATGACTGTAGGAGAGAACAGCAAATGCTAAGGCTCACTTGTACAGGTGATAATTTGAAAATTATAATCCCCCTACTGTCTAAACTGTCAGGAGGCTGGGGGGAGAATTTGATTCCTGGGCAGTTCAAGGACAGAGTGAAAGTGAAAAATGGATCATGGTGGTAGGTTTGAGGGGACAATGAAGCAGTCCTTGCACATCTCCAGCACTGAGGTTTGAGACACTTTGATGTGCTAAGGTCAGTTAGAAGCAAAAGAAAATATAACAGACAGTGGAGTCATGAGAACATTTAAAATTGGTACCAAAGGCCATAACAGTCTAATTTCAGGAACAAGAGATTTGACAACACTCCCTGGTGTTACAATAACCCACAGAAAAAAAGTTATTCTATATTTGGCCATGAAATAAATCAAGGGAGAGCATCAAATATTATGAATCAAGATAAACATGAAAATTATTGTATAGTCTTATTATATTTTTATCAGTTTGCAGATTATCGGCATAAATCTAATAAAAATAAATATTTTTGTCTTCTCTTAGTATATGAGGTTTAAGTGAGAAATGTTATAGGGAAAAAAGCATCAAATTTACAAGAGCACTGTATTAGTTGGTAAAGCCCCACTGAGACTCAATAGATATATAGGTTCTTAGGAGCTTCTAAAAACAGTTGAGTTTCTTCAGGAAGCATTACCATATCTGTTTTTTTGACTGTTTGCTTTTTCTCCCTTCCCTTTTCTAGAGCCAAAGGAAGGAAGAGAAGAGAATTTCAACATTAATGAAGGTTAAACACTAAAGACTCATCTGTGGAACCCTTCCTCACCAAGGTGAGCAACTTGCAAGAAGCTATTCCTTTGATCCAGCTTGACTGTACTTGTAAGGACATGAACACAACTTATGCAAGTGCATATCCTGTTTGCTGCTATGGCTAACACCTGCTACCCTCAAAAGTAGAAGGAAGCCTGAAACATCCGGTTATTGGATAACTTGCCTGGAAGGAAACTTCCCAGTCTTTGGTTGGTTGTTTTAGCTGGAAACATGAAGGTACATTTCTATCTAACATTATTGGTATTTTAAAATCCTTATTTTAACAATTCTGGATACTCTCTTAAAATCGGAGCGTTAGTAATATTGCTGTGGTAAAAAAATGAGCTCTACATGCTTGACTATGGGTTGCCTGAAACGAGTATTTCTCTTTATCAGTTTTAAATTTTCCCATAATTGTTCCTTTTACACTTAATTTATTTTAACTTTCATTTAGTAATTGACCGAAGGATAATAAGAAATTATTTGTTTTCTTCATACTGCTTAACCACAAAAAAGCTTTCAATATGTACTGTATCTTATTCTTTCCTTTTATACATAAACACACACACAAATAAAAATGGAGGAATTATGTTTATTCTTTTAAAAAACAGTTGTTTGTATAACTCCCTGGGGAAAACTGCTTCTGCAGGGGTGGATTATTTATAATTTGATGCTCCTTTGTAACTCATATTTTCTTAATTATGCAGGATCCAGAGAACACATGAATTAAGATAGGCACAGATAATACATTTTATTGAACAGAATTCTTAGCATCGTCTCTTAGATATTTCTCTATGACTGGATTCACACTTGGATGGTTTACCATTGCAAACAAGGAATAGTACATGCTCAGTAAAACCTTAAATATCACTCCATTAGGTCCAGCTCCACATTGACTTCGAGACTGTTATACAGCTTTAAACCAATACATTTATTATTATTTACTCACTAGCTACCCTACATTACACTGTAATTAGTTCAGACACTACAGTGTCTATGGCACATATAACCAAACACTAAAGTGTCATTATCATTATTTTCCCCAATTTATGTAGCACTACAAATATAAAAATTCAGATGTAATTATACTCCAGTAATTTGAAGATATGTATTTGTGGTCACAATCTTATATCTACTGTGGTTCAAATTGCAGATTCTCCCCTTCAGTTGTGTGTTTGTGCCTCATTCTACTTAAGCATACCGACCTCCCCATGCAGAAGTACAAACATGGACAATGTGGGAAATCTACTGGTTCCCTTCTCTTTTTGAAAGAGATGACAAGAGGCAGCACAGCTGTGAGGAAGCTGGCCATTTTGAATCTTGACTTCAGGAGGCAATAATAAATATGCCAAAACCAAGGCAGTTGTCTGTTTAGCAGCATGTTTCATTTGATTTCAAGAATAAGAAAAGGCATCCAGAAAGCAAAACAGTCAAAGGTGAGTCATCAGAGCCCTAAATAATCTAATTTCCTGTGGAGATTTTTTCCACAGCTAGGCCTGTTCATTGAAATTTAATTTGTCTCTGGCTCACATGAATTTTATCCTGAGTGAAATTATTTGCATTGTTCTAGAGCAGTGTTTTTCAACCTTTTTTTCATTTTCAGATCCCTAAACAATTTCAAATGGAGGTGCAGACCCCTTTGAATTGTAGGTATGGGTATTCACATACTTTTGATTGATCATAGTCATCTTTTGTGGACTCATTACATATAGTCTGCAGAGCCCCAGGGGTCTGTGGACCATAGGTTGAAAACCACAGTCCTAGAGGAGCACAGCATTAAATGTTGATCATTAATTGAGGTACCAATTTACAGGATCCAGAGAACACATGATTTTTTGTGATATCCTTGAATCACCTGTGGAAATGGAGATAGGATACATGATATCAGATACATTTTGAAGAAGACAACAAGAAGATCCACAGCTGAGGGTTTTCAGGACAAAACAAGTCCTGCTATGTTTGGTCATTTTTGGGGTGGTAGACATTCCAGAGAGACAAGGAATAGATACCCTCTGACAAAAGAACTAAGATGAGTTGATGATGAAACTGCACTATTGCAAGGAAGGCAGAGAGGGGCTGCCAATCTGTGAGAACTAGAACTCATTAATGACATGGAGAATAATTTTTGTTTCCATGCAAGCACCATGTAAAATTTCTCTCCCTTGTTTTCAAACTGTCATTTCCGTTTCCCTTCCATTACTCTGCAGGTTCTTGGGCACTATGTCATGTTTGTATCAGAACTTATACCAGAATGGAGTGATCTCAGTTTATGAAAGCTACTGTCCCTGGCTTTGCTCTTGGCACAATGACCAGAACTTCTGTAGTAGATGAATCATAATACCTTAAATTGCCTGTACCTACTTCAGGCTGGATCCCTCATTTCTCATGAAGGGTAGGTGCAGACATACTGTGACTGTAGATCAGGAGTGGCTGGTGCACACATTCACCAGTGCCAAGAGCCATGTATAGAAAACAAACTAAGTAACTGTGGAGAGATGAGTGGGTGGGATTGGGCTGGGTGGGGGTGGCAAGCAAGACCACAGTGGTGTTGGTGAGTCCGGGGAGATTGTTAGGATTGGGGAGGACTGGCAACTCTGGGTGGGGAGGTCTGCAGGGTGCAGAAGGGGCAGAGAAGTAAAAATACCCTGGTCAGAAGAGCACAGCCCCAGAATTGGAGTGAGCAGCTGGACTTTCCCAGCTAAGACAATGGGGATTTGAACCCAGGATGACCAGAAGACACAGGCTGGATCTTCAACACCACCACACCACTGGTCAGATATGAACCCCAACCCAACCTGGTTCGTAACCTGAAGATATTAATGAGGAGTCAGGTGACCAGGGGGAACCACGAACCCCTGATTAGAGGGCTATAAAAACCCCTCCTACTTCCTGTGGGACTTGTTCCAGTAACATTACTTCTGTATGTGCTCCTTGGATCTCTTCCCTATTCCAGCCATGGTCCTGCCTTCTTCCTGTTGCTCCTGCCTGATCCCAGCCTCAACACAATCCTTGCTCCTGCTTTTTTGGAATTCCTAGCTCTGATCTATCTTCCTCCTTGGCTACAATACTGCCTTAGCCTTTGACAGGAAGACCTAGCCCTTGACTCATACCTGGTGTGACCTTGGCCGGCTTATGGTAATTCACTGAGGCTCCTGTTAGATGTGAAAAAACAAAACAAAACAAAACAGCTCATTACCAAAAGAGGAAGCACTTTAGTTTGACCTGGGCCTCCCGCTTTGTATAAAGATTGGGAGCTTCAGTAGGACTTTTTGTAACTTTTTTCTAAAGCTGATTCAATCATCTATTAGATAAAAGCACCAGAAAGCCCCATTGAAGTGACCAAACTATATAAATGTTGGGCAGGTCAAACTAACGTGATGCATTTTCTGGGCATATACTGTGGTCAGAGTGAGAGTGCTCTGAGCTAAAAGTAAAGTGCCAGGTTTTTTTTTTCCATGTCTGCAAGCAGCCTGAGTGACCAGCAACAGGCTGGTTGATCCTAACAACTTTCTGGGCTCTCCAAAGCATCCTAGGGCCATGACCACCTGGGGCTGTGGATCCCACCAAGGTGCCCTGGTCCATGGAGGATTTCATGGCCATTTTACCTGCTCTGTGCCCCTGAATGGGATCTCTGCAGGTCCAGAATTAGTCTCTACAGACTCAAGTGGTCACTCTATGACAAGAAAATGCTACTCTGAAGCTACAGCCTGGCTCACCTGCACCAGCCATTGCCCCACCTGTAGCCACCACTCCAAATTTCTCTGAGCCTAAAGTTCCCCTGCCATAAAGCTTCCTTGGGGACCCTCAACAATTTGGGGGACGGGGGGATGGGGGTTGTCAAACTATGTCAATTACTATTTGTCCTGTGCTTCCATACCTATCCAACTGACAAGGTCAAGGTAGGGCTTGCAATTAGCCTATTAATGGGGTCCTGGCCTGGGTCTCCTCTCTGTTGCAAGGCACTAATTCTCTTCTGGAGGACCTCAAGGGGTTTCTTAAGGCTATGTAAGCTGGCCCCTTCTGGTCATACACTGCTTAAATAGTCCTGAACACCCTAAGGCAAGGTCTTCAAATGGTCAGCCGCTATGCAGCTGCAGATATGCACTATGCACTATCTGCAGCTGAGTTCCAGCAATTAGCTGGAGACAGACTGGAACAAGGGTTCACAGCTCTTCCACTTTGGTCAGGAGCTTAATGAGGATGTGATGGATCAGCTAGCCTGATTGGAAGCTCCCACCAGCCTAGGCTCACTCTTTGATCTGTGTGTCCACATAGACCACCACTTCTTAGAAAGAAGGCTAGAAAGGTCTTGAGCCCCAAAGAAGGATCCTCTGGGTATGATTCATGCTCCACAATCCTTAGTGGGGGGTATAGGACTGGAGGAAGAATCCCTGAAAGTCAGTTGTGGGTGACAGTGGCTATCTCAGACAGAAAGAAAAAGTCAATGGTACTTAAGCCTCTGCCTATACTGTGGTGGGACAGGCTTGCCCTCCCAAACACGGGAACGGTGCCAGTGGGAAACTGCTTGCTTGTAATAGAGGGGTCCTGTCTGAATGAGGCACTATGCCCTTAACAACTTTTACCATTGGAAGAGTAAAAGGTGCCCCTGGACATCACCACTTCTGTTAGCCTTGTACTTTTCTAATCTTGCTGTGGCTAAGGTCCAAAAGATTGCTCTGGTAGACTCTGGGGTCTGACAATTTTATGGACCAGGACTTTGCCAGAGCAAACCACATCCCTATTGTGTGCAGGGCCAACCCCATGACTGTTGAATCAATTGACAGCTCCCCACTCATTTTGTGGCCCAACACCCTAGAGACAGCTCCTCTCCTGGTTTGCTTACCAGGGTCACCACAAAGTATTGCAGTTTGGCTTGATTCATTTGGCCCATGCCCCCAGGGTACTGAGAATGACCTGAGGTCCCCTTCACAGCTTTCAAATCCTCTGGCTGTCTGAAAACATTCATTCCAGTTCAGCCTACTGTCAGAAGGTTTTTCTAACACCCATAGAGGCTGTTAATGCACTGATTGGTTGCAAAGCCCTCCTGTAGGGAAACATATATGCTCAAACACTTGGATGCTGTGGCTACCCAGTCAGTGACTTTCTGCAAGGATGGAGCCTACTCATGTTCAAGTAGTTGAGGTTCACTAATTGGGGACTAGTGCCTTCCAACAGGGAGGGAAGTTTCAAAGTTACCCTCTCAGCTAAATATAGGGACCCGGCATACATTTTCAGCAAGAAAAATGCTGATGTCTTACCACCCCACAGGCCATTTTACTCCAGGGGCTGTGGTTTCTTTTGGCCATCTGTATTCACTCTTGGAGCTGTAACAAGTTCTGTGGGACTACCTGCATAAAAACCTTGCCAAGGGGTCCATCCAACATATGACCTCCCCATCTGGGGCCCCCATCCTATTTGTAAAGAAAAAAGATGGGTCCCTTTATCTGTTCATGGACTAATATGCCTAAAACAAAGTCACTTTGTGTAACTGGTACCCTATCCCTCTCATTAATGACACCTTCGAGAGATTGGGATAAGCACCAGTTTTCACCAAGCTGGACCTAAGGGACCTATAATCTGGTTCTCATCTGTGTGGGTCACCAGTGGAAAGACTACATCCTGGTTGGTATGGGTATTTCAAATATCTGGTGATGCCTTTCAGCCTATGAAATGCCCTGGTGACCTTCCAACATTTCATAAATATTTTCCTGGATGTACTGGACCAGTTTGTGGTCATATATTTGGATGACCATTTTCTCAGAAACCCAGGAAAAGCATGACAGGCATGTCTGCCTGGTCCTAAGATGACTGCCAGCACCACCTGTGTGCTAAACCTGAGAAATGCCAATATGATGAGAACTTAGTAGAATTTCTAGGGTATATTATCATCCCAGAAGGGCTATGGATATAACCCCACAAGATAGCTGCAGTACTAGAATGGGGTCCCAAGGAAGTGCATGAGGTACAGAGATTTCTATCCGGTATTTCTCCAAACTGGCAGCACAATTGCCCATCTCAAAAAAGGGAGTTCCATTCCACTGGTCCCCTAAAGCCCAAGCACCTTTTGATTCCTTGAAGCAGGTACTCACTTCTGCTCCCATTCTGAGCCCCTCCCCCTGCCCCAGCCCTTCCTTTTCTAGTTGAGGCAGACTCATCTAACTATGCCATTGGAGGAGTGCTGCCCCAGTGCTGTGGTGCCCATGAACCATCACTTTATATTTTTCTTCCTATTCCCTAAAGATGACCCCCCAGTTAATGCAACAAAAACATTTTAGATAAGGAGCTACTGGCAATCAAGAAGCTACCACAAAATGGCACCATCTATTAGAGGGGGCCTGGCACTAGATACAACTTTTGACAAAACATAAGAACCTAAATTACCTTCACTCAGCAAGAAGCCTTGAACCAACAGTAAGTTTGGTGGCCCCTGTTCTTTTCCCAGTTTGATTTTATAATTACATTCTGATCTGGGAGTCACAAGGGCAAAGTGACTGTCCCAGAAGGGAAAATACACAGAGAGTTCCTCACAGAGAGACACCCCTGATCCTGGTTCCCACAAATGTCATAGGTAATACCAAGACAAGAAACTTACTTGGACTCTTCCAGACCACCCTTAACTAAGACCATTTGCTAGCCAAAGTGGTTGCCCTATTACAGAATCTGAGAACTCACCCTGACCAGGACTACTATCTACAAGAGAGTATATGCTATCATTGGCAGTGTATCTGTGTTCCCTAAGGGTTCCAACTAGGCCACAGCACCTCAATGATTGGACATTTTGGCCACACCAAAACAAGGAAGCTCCTCGCTCAACGTTTTTGGTGTCCCCAGAGGCAATCTGATGTTAAGTCCTATGTTAATTCCTGCGATACCTTCTCTCGTGCTAAGTCTCAGTGAACCAAATCCTTCAGTTTTCTCCAGCCTCTGCTCACTCCCCACCTGGGACAACAGTTTCCCTAGATTTTATCATGGGCCTTCCTGCCTCCAGGGGTACACCACAATTCTGGTGGTGGTGGACTAACAAAAATGACTTGCTTTATTTTTAATCAGGGCAAGCATACTACTCAAGACACATCCCATCTCTTCCTGGTGAACATCTTCCAACTCCATGGGATACCTAGTAGCCTTGTGTAAGCCTGAGGCCTCCAGTTTATATCCCACTTATGGTGAGAATTTCTGTGACTACTGAAAATACAACAGCATTGTTCTTCCACTTACCATGTACAATCCAATGACCAAAGTGAGTAAATCAGGTTCTGAAGCAACACCTTCACTGCTTTTTGAACTACCATCAGGATGATTGGGTACCCTCCTGCCATTTGCAGAATTTGCTTATACAACTTGGATCATGCCTGCCACAACACTGTTCATTCTATACCAATTATGGGTTCC